GTAACTTTTTCAATTTTAAGAAGTCGTCATTAAAAAATACATATTGATTGACTGCTAATCTCTAATCTGAAAGTTATGTCTATATGCCCTGGTATAATGGCCAAGATTAGCAATGCATAATATTATTATGCATATATATATATATATATATATATATATATATATATATGAATGATGTATTACGGATTTATACTAGCATCCCTAGTCAAGATATCAAAAATGTGTATATTTATTATCTGTATATACTTCCAAAAGAAAAAAAAAACACTTACAGAGAACGGATACAAGACTCATGAAATCATTTATTTTACAATTTTTATCTTTCTAGGGTTTTTCTTTCATTTTCCAGGCAGCCCCAATGAATATTTAATACCTTCCTCTGCTTCTCACTATTTAAAAAATAAGATTTCATAAAAAGCATTTGTTGAAAATCTGCTGCTTCTTAAAATCGAATAGATATGCATAGTGTGTGAATGTTTATGATTTATTAAAAAATGTTTTGTGAGTGTGCGAATGAATGAACTTATGAAAGATTATCTGGCTATGTCTTGAAGATATTATATGTACAGTTTAAGACAGCAGGTACACTGCAAAAATATTTTGTCAGGTAACCTAAAAAAATGTGCTTCATGCAGTAACATTTAAAGTAACTGGTTTTATTTGAGCCAAAAACATTACTTAATATGACTGAATCAGGCGGAATACTTCAGGTTATACTGAGAGTCATTTTTAAGGATTCGATCAAGTAAAAATAACTCTTTAAGGTAAAAACCACACAAACCCACAGTAAGTGTGTGTGCGCAGTGTGTGCTAGATATAGATTTGTGAAAATATACATATATTCACACAAATCAAACTGCACAGTGCATGGGGGAAGGTTGTACATTTCTATGGGGGAAGGGTGTGTGTGTGAGGGGGTTGTTTGAATGTACTTAATAGGTAATACGGTGGGGGATGGGAAGTTGACATTCAGGCGATGCCTGTTTCTGAGGTAAAGTTATGATTCCAAGTATCCAGCACCGGCATGTGCTCACTCTCTCTAATACACAAGAGACAAAACAATAGGCTATCAGAGTAACCGTTGCTCATACAATTAGAAAAACAAAATCCTCCTGACACACACAACTATATAAACAGGCTCATTTGCAACTATAAAAAAGAATCTGAATCTTTGTTCAACCACTGTTCAAATCCAAACTCCAGCATACGTGACTCTTGATGAACGTGCACTTAAAAAAAAAATCACCTAAATCGCTGAACTCTAATGAACTTGAACGGCTGTGAGGAAGTTGGTTTAACACTGCTGGTTATATTTGTAACTATCAGATGTTTCACATTGTGAAATCCTATTGATTTTTTTTTCTGTGTACATCCGTTGAAATAACATATCGACTAAAATGGAACTTCCCCATGGATACAACCTCAAACCAAACACCCTTCCCAACTGAAAGCCTCATCCACAAATAGTTTGGCTGCATTTGGGGAGTAAAATTGAACAAATTCTTCAACTAATATCCTCGTCCTGCATTGTTCACCTCTTGTTCTACATTTGATAAATTAACACTGTGTCAGCCAATTGAAATAAGTCTGTTTATGAGCTCTCTCATGATGTGGTAGCTGAGAGCTAGTCTGCCAACACAATGCTTCAAATGCCAGCTGATACTCAAAGGTTAATGGAATAGAAACCTCATTGTACATGTATTCACCATATTGTTCTTTAACAAAATGTCAGCATAACTCAAATGTTAATGGTTTCTAAAATTTCTTCAGCTTTGAATTTCTCTGCCACTTTCATCAGGCTACCTGTTCTGTGTATGTACAGAACTTCATATGAGATTCATGCAGGCCAGTGTGTTGTTGTAGAAGTGGCAACTGTTAAACTCAACTTTCGTCTCTTGGAAGCATGTGTCAGGGTATTGTATAGTCAATCTTTTCAATAATAAAGAATAAAGTTAGATTTTTTGGCTGAGAATGTCATGAAGCTAGTTTTTTGTTTTGTTTTGTCTGCCAGTCACACATTGTTCAGAGATTAACAGCCTTTGAAAAAAAAATGCTGACATGACTTTGACCACAAAAAAGCGAGCTGTTGTGTGCACTAGCATTCAATGTTCAACGGGCCGTATCCAAACAGAACCAAAGCAGACTTTCTTTTACTGTGGCTTTTGATGCAGAAAGACCACTGTAATGATACATTCTGATTTGGTACTTTCGTCGCCAAAAACATTATACCAACAGCAGCACTGTGTATCCCTATCATCATCAACCTCACCATCATCATCATAATCATCGATGAGAAATGATGAATAATGCCAGTTTCTCCAATGTAATTGACAAGAAATAGGACCACCTGCACCTCCTTCATTTCCATTTGTCTGAGGAAAACATAGCCTACTCATTTCCCGCCGAAAACATTATGCTCTCATGGATGGCATTGTTTTTGTGTTTCTCTCAAGCTTTGATAATGTAGTTCCCAAACAAATGAAAGTGAGAGAAGAAAGATGATATATTATAGATAGATAGATAGATAGATAGATAGATAGATAGATAGATAGATAGATTTCAGAACCTATTATTGATTGTCTCTATTTGTGGAAGGCCTTATATTTATATGTTAATAAAATAATAAATAAATAAAAACTTTTACAAAGTCTATGAATGTTTTGACTGGTTATTAAGGGAAAATCAACTGCCTTATCTATATCAAAACAAAACAATGCGAAATGTCAAAAAGCTTCCCAAGACCTTGAGAAAATAGATTCTTGGAAAAGCAGTGAAGCAGTGATTTACATAATTTATGGTCAGTGTTGGGTAGATTACTTGTGAAATATGGCTATACTGTTTACAAATTAAAATTAAAATTGAAATCAGAAACCTAATCTTTAAGAATTACTTTTCAAAACATGCCATCTAATATTTTTCTTGTGAGCGGTGCAGAGTGGAGGAGCAGCAAATGGAGAGGGAGAAATGAAAAACCAGTGGAGGTTTATGACCGTATGGAGGGCTCAACTGTGTGTTATTTAAAGGGGTCATATGACGTTGCTAAAAATAACATTATTTTGTGTATTTGGTGTAATGAAATGTGTTTATGCAGTTTAAGGTTAAAAAAACATTATTTTCCACATACTGTACATTATTGTTTCCACAACGAAACAGCGTCACACACTGCGGCCTTGAGTGAGCAGAGGCCGGAGGCCTAGAGTGAGCGGCGGCCGGCTTGAGTGAGTGGTGGCGGGCGGGCTTGAGAACGGCATAGCCGGCGGGCTTGCGGCAACCACATGTGACGACCCCGGGCTGGACTCCGCTTCGTCCTTTCATAAAGGCTAATATCTTAAACATACACACTTCCAGTTTTCTTTATTTATGATTGCCACAGCTATCAGTAGACTGTTAGACCAGTGGTTTTTAGGCTACTTTTCGACTCTCCTCATAGGGCCCTATTTTAACGATCTAAGTGCTAGGTCTAAAGCGCACGGCGCAGGTTCACTTAGGGCGTGTCCAAATCCACTTTTGCTAGTTTAACGACGGGAAAAATGGTCGGCGCGCCCGGCGCATGGTCTAAAAGGGTTGTCCCTATCCTCTAAATGAGTAATGGGTATGTTTTGGGCATAACGTGCAATAAACCAATCAGAGTCTCATCTGAAATCGCATCATATGACCCCTTTAATTTTTCATTTTTAATAATGTTTGTGTGGTGCTGCGCATCCCTGTGTGTGTAATAAGCAAAGTGTACTCGCGTTGTTCACTCGCCTATAGGCACATATTACTAACGCTCTTTAAATTAAATATATATATATATTGCACCAGACTTTAGACCAGGTTTTTGTTGGTCAATGGCGCAGTCTATTTCACTTGCCTCAAAATAGCAACGCGCCAGCAATGCACCTGAACACACCTCATTTTCAGACCAGCACGCCCACGAGCGCACAAATGGGCGCAAATGCATTTGCTATTTAAACAACGTGGTGCAGAACGTGAAAATGATAACTGCGTCGGGCTGAAACTAGCAAAAACACTTGTGATGTAAGAAGTGAGGAAAATAAAACAACCTCAATGGAATGGCGCCACAGAGGCCATTACGGCAAATACAGTAGTATACAGCAATTTAAAAAAATACAGTAAGTCACTGTATGTGGAGTTTGACGTCACAGAAAATTCCCATGATGCAAAGGGTATTACAGTTACTTACTGTAAATGGAATTTGCAGTATTATACTGGGTGATATACAGTAAATAACTGTAGAAATTACAGAAATGTCTAACAGTGTACCATGTCTATTTCAGTTGCCTCAAAATAGCAACGCGTCAACAATGCGCCTGAACACACCTCGTTTTCAGATCAGCACGCCCATGGGCGCACAAATGAGCGCAAATGCATTTGCTATTTAAACAACTTGGTGCAGGATGTGAAAATGACAACTGCGTCGGGCTGAAACTAGCAAAAAAACACTTGTGTCGCGTCTGCCGCCGCATTGCGCCGGGTGTATGATATAGGGCCCATAGTGTTGATACATTAAAACTGTGATTAATCTGATGATTCCATAACTTTTAAGAACTGCATGTTCTTCAATAAAAACAAATTAAAAATATGATGCCAGATTACATGGTTTACTTCCTGATTTTTAGCAGGATTCAGTGTTTAAAATGTAAAGTTTAACTTGTAAACTGCATGTGAAGTCAAACAATATTAAAAGACAAAAGACTGTTTTAAATAATCTAGTTCATCTTGGGGCCCAATTTGGAAGTTTGCTGAGTCCTACAGGTTTGAACCACTGCTGTAGACTCTTGTTTATCATTACATTTGAATTCTAAAGACACTCCTGTCAAAAATATGTTCGTATTGAAGAGTGATACTGGCACAGCTAAACGGAATCTTCCGTCACCTAATGTTTAGACAGTATTTTACGCAAGGTGATGCAAATCCTGAAGCGGGAGCGCACATCGCAGCGCCCCCTGTGGCCGCTCAGCGGTACCGCCGCGTGTCTTGCGAGTCTTTTGTGTGTGAACATTGGCAAAGCGCTCGCTTCTCTCCATAGAGCAGTTACACTGAGCCACAGCTGCACCAAGAAGATACACATCTCTACTCACAACAGTCAACACAGACTCACCAGATGCTCTTGTTCTCTCCAAACCTGAGCGCTTGTTTTTTCTGCGGTATCTCTCTATTGTAAGTCGACTGAGGTAGAGGTTCATTTAAAAGTTTTTGCGAAAACCGCGGAACGGATGTGAGGCGCAATAGAAAGCCTCTTTCAGTCTTCACTTTGCACCTTCTCTTATTTGCGTCGAGATTTCTGAGTAAGCGAGGAACACGCTTTCTAGTGGAAAGGCAATAGGGACCGGTTGATGTTTTTATTGAAATGGACGTGAGATTTTATCCACAACCTCCACCACCAGCAGCAACAGATCCTTCCCGACTGGGACAGTCACACTATTCGGACTCTCCGTATTGTAATAAGGTAAAGCTTCATTTTATGATGCATGATCTTTTATGATATGGATATTCATGAAGGTGTTTTGTTTGTTTTTTGCCTGGCTGAACTTGAAGGAACTGTTGAGGACTTGTTCAAAGTTTGTACTTTACTCGACTGTCACAGAGAGTCGGGGAAAGTAGGAGCGATTGAGCACGGGGCCACAAATTTATCCAAACCGGGTGACTTTGTTTATTATTTGTTTATTTTTTTCCTCACTATAAATGTTATTTTTTTCCTCACTATAAATGTTTATATGTTTAACTCTTAAACGCGCACATCAGCATTTTCACGTGCCTTTTACGTAGCGAACTTAAAAACGCTGTTTCGGGTTGTCATAGAAACCGCGCGCGGATGGTAACGTTAAATAAAATGCAAATAATAATAAAATGCACCATTTAAGTTGGTAGCAAAAAGTAGCGCGCTTTCTTAAATACACCTGCTCTTCATCACAGCCCCAAACTCATGGACATCAACAAACTGTCCTTTACACAACATGCACAAATAACAAATAGTAACATATAGTGTGTAGTGTGTATGTTCATTAATGCGGTTCACATCATCATACTTTATACCTATGGCATTAATTTATCCTCCGAGTCCCTGAGGAACAACAGAGATATGTGGGGTTTGTATTCCTCTATTTCTCCTAATGATGGTGCTGTTACTGTGTGTGTGCAGTGCATATGCGCAGGATAAAGAGAGATGGGGAAGAGAGAGGGTGTGTGTGTGTGTGTGTGTGTGTGTTAGAGAGAGACAGAAGACAAAGAAGAATACAATAACTGGCATTCACAGGCTAAAAGCAGCGCTCATTAATAATTGATAAATTATTTATATTAGAAAGAGTGATGATATAGGAAAAGGAAAGGAGAGATAAATGGCAGAGCAAGATAGATTTGAGCCCTTCTTGTTAACAGGCTCTGTGGGTTTATTCTGTAGTTTTGGGAGAGGTGATTGCCAAGAGTGTTTCATTAGTTTAATCCAGCATTGCACTCTGGGGATGGAATATGCCACAGCGATAATATATTCTCTTTTCCTTTGAGTTCACGTCTCACATTAGTCTTACCATTTTACACTTCTCTCTTTCTCTATCTCTTCTTATTATTCTTTTTGTATTTTTGAGAATTTGGTATTTGTGGGCCATGGTCCCATAAGCCTAGATGTCAATTTAGTGAAGTTAGCAAACCTACACAACCTCTGTCTGATTCAATAAAGAAACGTCAGAGGTTATCTGATCATTGATTGATGGGTAAATGATTAGACAAGGATGGAGCAGGAAAGAGGAGGATGATGGGAGAGAGAAAGAGTTTTATATAATACCACTTTTGTGCCAAGTAGAGCACTGGTCCACACTCTTTCTGTTTGATGTGGACAGAAAGATATAAAAACAAGCACTGTATCTTTATTCATACGCTATGGATTTAGTTCCGAGCCTTGGAGGCATGTGCTGGTTTAAAAGCGTTCAGTTGCAGTGCACTTTGTTGTGGATTTTCTGCAGTTCAGCAAAACGTGTAAATGCATGAAAGTCTGTGTTTGTCTAGCACGATGCTTTTTGTGCTGTGAAAGGTACACGTTTCAAGCCTGAAGTTATTGCTGCAAGGAGAAAAAAACTGAGCAACTTTGAACACACTAATGCTCCACACTTCCTGCGCCATACAGTTTGGTTCTTATCGCCCTATGCTTATCATTCTACCTACTCTGATATTTTTGTCACAAGATACAGTGTCAGTTTGCTAAGAAAGTGTTTAGCAAGCAAATAAATGCAAAAGCAATTAAATTTGAATTTTGAAGACCCTGTAGAGGACTCTTTGAATCTGAATCTGCACCTCGGATGTGTGCTTTAATACACGAGCGCTGCTGTTAAGGAAGTCAAGAGTGGTCTTGAAGAGTACTCTAGAGAGAGAGAGAGAGAGTGTGGCATCATGGGTAGGATTGGATTACAGACTGTTTGGGATTATGAAAACCGGCAAAGATGCAGCCCCTGACCATTAATGGCCAACAAAACTACTCCGCTGAAGCCAACCTATATCAAAGTCAATGATTTATTTCATGCCTAATGACTTTCAGCTGGTGCTCAAGTCGCTGCTTTAATGGAATTTGCAGGCTCGAAGTTATTACAGCCAATGAGATAATGCAAGCAAGCTGTTAACACTAAGCATGACTCATTGTCTTGTAAGTTCATCGTTGATGTGGTTTTAAGGAATGGTGAAAGCTTGCACGTTCCCAGATTTCACAGATTTTGCTTGTTTACAGTCTACAATCTTGTGTGCTGTCAAGTCTTAGGATAGAAGAAGTCCAATCTAAATAATTGGGCTTTGTACCTACAAGGTTTGAATGATGTTCACAGTGTAGAAAACGTTTTTTCGAAGTTGCAAATGAAATACATTCTACAAGAAAATACTATTTCAGTTTTTATTTCAGTTACTTCAAAATGTCATGTTTAGTTCATTGTTACTTGAAATTTCTTTGTAATTTCTTTATTTATTTTTATTTTTTGCAGTTTATGAGTGAAAATTGTTTAGAAGTAAATCCTACACCAGTTTTTTTGTTTCAGTGTACTATGAATGAATTTGGCTCATACAAGATGATTGAATTGCCTGTGCATTTAAAGCAACAGCAAATATTCCAAGAGTTGGTGAGCAGAACAGACCTGTGTATTTTTATTGACGTACATTTTTAATACCCAGCAAACATATGGCTTTAGTTTTTACCTGCAAAATTAAATTCAGACTCTTTTGATTACAATTATGGGCAAAAGTCTCCTGAATCTTCTGTCTGTGGTTTTGATGTCTTTGTAAAAATGATAGTACATTCCTGCTCTTAAGGAGATTACATTAAAAACGGATGAGAAATTAGATATCTCAGATATGTATTGCTGTCATGGGCCGTGCTCCGTAATATAAAGTCTGCTGTGTGTGTGCCTTAGCCACAGGCATTTTCAATTAAGTAGAAATTACTGAGATCTTTGGTGGTCCTGGATGTCAGAGGGTCCCAGGATGTCGACCCTAACATAATACTCTGTCTTTTGTGTTTGTTAGTCAAGAGCAGTACTCAAACCCCACTCTAAAACTCTGGCTCCCCCAACCCCCCCAAAGTCCTTCTACTACTCCAGCTGTAATGATCATTACACGCATGTGCATTTTAAACAAAGGAGCTAACGGACTTATCATCTGAGCACTGAAAGAAGCTGATTTGACTCGGAGAGAAGGAGAGAGGAGCTAGCACGGGTGATCTCTGTTTACCAGGTCACTGCTTCTCAGAAAGAGTGATGTGATTACAGGGTGAGACTGAGTGGGTATTTCATTCGTGCCCCCCTCCAGCTTCTGCCTTTAGAGCACTGATCAAACCACATTTCTAAATGTGAGAGGAAATCAATGCGTGCAGCAGTCTGTTTGTATTTGATGTTGTATCGTTCGCCTGATGTCATAATGGTATATGGTTTGGTGTAAAAAATTCCAAATTGTTTTATTGTTCTTGGCTCAAACTGTAGCATATAAATATAAATAATGTGGCACTTTCCACGAATCATGTTACCAGGATGGTATTTGTGTGAAAGACACTGTGCACTTTCTATATATTAGTATTAATCTCAGCTTGTGGAAAAGCTACTTGTGATAAACTTTGGTTGTTAGTATATTATAAAGGTAGGCTATAAAACAGATTTTAATACTTCACTAGGTCGGTATGAACATTGTATCGGTTAATTAAATATAAATTTTTCCTGTTACCTGGCAACCACAGCTGCTTTTTTTTACTTTCAAATTTACAGATTTTTAACCATTAGAAGCACAAATCGTAAGATTTGAGAACTATTAGATATGTTTGGTAAACTGAAATAAAATTAACCTAGCATGAAAGGTAGTTTTAAACACATCAAATTCTGTATTTCTCCATTGAATTAATTTATCTTTATTTATTTGTTTCTTCTTTTAAATATAAAATTTTCATTGCTTTGTTGCTAAATCAAACAAAGCAGGTTTTAAACGGTATTTAAACCTAAATTTTGTTAACGTGGTTGGAAAAATCACAAACCTCATTCAAAATTAACAGGCTATTACATTAATAAAGTAAAAAGTTCATACAATATATAATTTGTTGATCAACATTTTCTGAAAGTTATCACTTATCATTTGTTTAAAAAACCTTAGAGTTTTCAGACTCTTTTTTTATTAAGTGCCATGTATTATTATGAAATATACAGTTTTAAAACATGAAAGCCAAAAATTGTATTCCTGGTTTGTGTTTTGCTGAATTATATGCATTATTAAAAGTTATGTCAGTATGCCTAGACAGGTGTTAAGTGTAGCGTTTAGGGCTTTAACACCTTCATGTCTGAATAGTTTTCAAAGCATTGTACTGTAACTCCCAAAATGGCTTGCTCTCCGCCTTTAAACAGAGATGTCCTTCGACTGACGTATATCTGGGAGTTTTTCTTATGTCAACAGCATATGTCAACATTACACCGGCTGGCCACACATGGGTGGAAACAGAGGGTGTCATAAATGTGAGAGGTGGACAAATGCTGTGATCTTTGCTCATGTTGTGCCTAGGTCAAGCTCCAAGCACAACAGCACAAAGAAGTGCCGCACATCACTAACATGCCATTTTTTTCCTCAGTGTTTTCCTCATACTTTTCCATCTGATGACGTCTCCACACCAGCTAAACTTGGCAGATGACTTTGCAAAAGATTGACCTTTTTTTATGTGTATGTTAAGTCTGAACATTTAATATTTCTAGTAGCTTCTTACTGTTATCTTAGCAGCAGGTGCTAAACCAATTGTCAGTTAATAAACTAAAAGAAAAAACGAACACAGAAAGATCCAATTATTGTCTCGTCTCCACAATATCCATATATTCTCATTTAAGGTCAACTTAATTGCATCCAAATTTGGTTTTGCTGGTAACAAAAGCCATTACTGTTTGAGTTCCTGTTCAGTGGCTAGCTGGCACGGTTCACTGGCTACTGTCACAAAGGATTTGCTTCTGA